ATACATTAATGCGTGAAATGTGCGTGGAACGTATTTCTGAATGAGGTTATGGTGCGACCGGCAACCCTGGCAACGTGCTTAGTGCTATGTGATAGAAAGATCATGTTCAAGGAAGGAGATTGATAGCTTCACGCAACTACGCGCAATTGGGAGTCAGCGTCGGCGCGACTTGTAGTTTGTAGTTGGAAGAAACGAAAAGAAGAAATGATATAATCACCATTTATAGCAACCGCCGTCTGTCACCTCCAGCGTGAAATTCACCGCAAAGTTGTTGAATACAGGCAACAGGACTCGAGGCACATTCAATCTGTGCGTTGTGGAAACCGTCGTATCGTAAAACGCCGCAACCAGGCCAACGAGTAGCACGGCTCTCCAGAGTGTTGTCAACCCGAACATGTTGCCGATGTTGCGTCGGCATATATTACAGTGTATTATCACTATTACCGCGCACGATTTCAGTCAGCCACCTTCAGAATTCGGCCAACGGCTTCGTAATCTTTGAACCCTCGAGGCTCAAACTCACTGTTTCAAACGTGAAAAATCGCGTCGATACCGAGCGAGATATCGAGAGGAGTAAAACCGCATGAAATGCGCTAAGGAAACCGCGGATCGCCTGTCCGGAATTTGAACAAATATTTGAGATATAAAAATTGAAAATTATAGCGAATATTGGAATTCTACCAATCCGATGGCATTAATCTTAATTCTCCGCAATTCCCCGTATTTTGATTGGTTAAATTCTAATTGAAATTTTAATTTAATTTTTTAAATGTTGGTTTAGTAAGCTTTCAACAAGCAGCACTGTATAATGCCTGCACACTAGGACAATGAGGGATATCCAATAAGAGCTCAGTTTTACATCGTCACGTGAGAAAAAGCAGAGTTTTCATTGGATATCGCTCGTTGCTCATATATCGCATCCAATGTGCTATACATAGTGCTGTAGGTATAAACACAGTGATCGTTTCATCTTTGTTTAGCATTGGCGGACAACAAGAATGTAATGATTTATTGTGTTTTATATTTATGTCATATAATGTATGTGTCTGTATGATAGCATTACATATATGTCTCTCTTAATACGTATGTATAACTTCATCGAATACGCTCAACCTTATAATATGAAACCTCCACAAATTGACATAAACGTTCTATATATAATGAAAAATAAATTTAAAAAGTTTTATTGAAAAAAATATTTATTTTTATAATTTTAATATTGTTCGTTTGTCTTTTATTATAGTACCTTTTCCAAGAAAATGCGATAAATTAAGGATGTTTTACACTTAGTGATCAAGAATGTATATATATATATAAATGTATTGTATGTATATACGTATATATATATATATACGTATATATGTATAGTGATATATAGATATATGCATATGTGACCAATATAAGAGATTAGCAACCTGCGTCGCCATGATATACTTCTCTTGAATATACAGTCGTGTTATGATGTTTCGTCGTGATGTTTTTACGTTTCGATTTCGATAACATTCATCGACGGCGATTATGAGAATCGTGGAGCGTGCGAGCGAGCGAGCGAGGAGATGCGCGATGCGAGAATGAGATCGTGCGATCAGTGGACAGTGTCGTGATGAGCGTGGTAGCCTATTGCGTATAGCGACGTTATTAGTGTATATATTTGTATATAGATCCTTCATTTCCTCGCAATGTGTACCTGATTAATTAGCACGTTTTAATCACACCACGTTAAAACGTATCTACGCACGATGTCTGCTCTGCGGAAGAAAACGAATCGAAGACCGACGAGAGAACGGAGAGAGACTGATAATCTTGTAGGAGGTTAAGTGCTCACATAGTTCATATATA